TTTTTTAAAAAAGTACTTTAAACTGTATAAATAATGTAAAATTAAATTGATTTAAACAGCCAATCATACGAATGTCTGACTATATCACTTAATATATCAACTTTAATTATTCGGGGGGGGGTAATTTATTATATAACAATAAGAAATGCAAAATAACAATAAGTGTAATGACAGATATTACGTAATATCCTGAGGGGGGAGGGTCTCCAACATCTTATGTTAAATATGTAAATTTATAATAGCCAATCAAATTTTTTTTACGTGGGGGGAGGGGGGTGAGGGTATAGTAAAAAAATATTACGTAATATCTGTCACTACCCTAATAAGATACGATAAAAGAATATAACTATACTAATAAACTAATACTACACATGTGAGAATCCGATTCTTATTATAAACTATATAATCAAGACATCATAGTTTCCAAATTGAGACGCATAGTCTGAAGAAACTCAACTAAGGCAAAACCCAGGCCTCAAATACCTTTTAGTTTATTAAGAGCTACTCGCTATCTCTTAACTCAACCTTCTAAGAGTCTTTGTACTCACAACACTGTGAAGCAGCATTGTGGGCGGGCCATGAACAATTTCCCACAGCCTTGGTTGATAACAATTGTTGCTATACATGTCATCAATTGGGAGACATCAATGTCTTGTTTACACAAACATGCAAGATAGCAATGTCTAGTTTATATAAACATCCACGGAATTGATCTATAGTATTAAGCCTCGTTCGCTATCTAGACTCACAATATTCTGGGGGCTCAGGTTATTTGTGCATTTAGTACCACCAAGTCACATCTAAGTCATAGGTTTAATTCTAAAACAGTGACATTATCTAAAAATCTCTAGGATTACGCAATGTTGACGGCCATTACATATTTTGTAACATATTTAAATTTATTATTATTGGCGTACATAATTTCTAAGTCTGAGCAACATATTTTTTATCTATTTCTTACTATTTCACCTGTCATTTAATGTACTTGTCTATATACTTTAAATAATTCAAATTTTGCAATTATTTATCGAAAAATTTTGACATAAACTATATACGTTATGATGCATCTGAATCTATGCAATTTATGTGTAATATCTATTGCTAAACCACTTTAATATCATTAACTAAAAATTTCGCTGGTCAAGTTCGAGCAAACATATAGTTTCTATTCAAATGGGGACGTTCTAATTACATATATCATGAATCATTAAATTACAAATTTATTAACAAGATGATAAAATTCATGGTTCAGAATTAATTTAATTTCTTGTTGCTAACAATATCATTGTTCCAATGCTATAAATTTTAATATAAAATTTCAATTTCATTTGAACAAATCCATGGACTTAAACCGTCAATGGTGTAGAAATATTGTACCAATATTATGGAGTAAACCACTAAATGATTTTAGAGATGCAAGAATTATAAAGATCTATCTTTTGGCATTAAATGCCGAAGAACAAGCACAATTAATTCTGGTTGAAATAATTTTTCCTAATGATTCAAAACCATTATTTGATTATACAAACCACGCTACATCTATTGTTGACTATAATCTTTGTGAAGGAATTGCAAATTGGCTTGATGATGAAGGACGTGGTATTCGTGATGTAATTTACTATTCTAAGCATGATGAGAATATTATTCGGGTAATAAAATCTTCATTAATTTCAATGCTTCTACGAAAAACTGAAAACCTCAAGTTTGTGGGTTTTTATGAGACTGTTCATGACAAAATAATGAAGGCTTTAGTAGAAGTTTTATATTGAAGCACTGCGATTAAAACCTTAAACATTTGTTTTGATAATCTTGGATCTAAAGAAGGAAAAATGATTGTAGAAGCTCTTCATAGAAACCTCGTTTCAGAGCCTTTGAGTACTAGTGATAATCATCTTAGTATTAATAAAGGAAGGGCAAATCGTGAGTTGAGTTAAATATGAATTTCTTTGCTAATTCTTATCTTATCTTATGTACTAATAATAATTATAAAATTATAGATGATAAGTTCGATTTTACAGAAGAACTGCTTTCTGTCACATATAATAAAAATGAACAATATAACGGGACGCATTTGAATTCATTATACCTTACCGGATCATTACCGACATCACCAACCTCAACTGATGCTGTAATACCAAAATGCAAGGAGATTGTAATTACATGTGAATCTCACGATCAAGGATGGTCATCTTATCCTCAGGACAGAGGTACATACAATAATTCGTGGACATGGGGAGAAGTTTCTATTATTACCTCAAAGCAGAACAACAATTTGCAAGGTCAATTAATTAACTACGAACTATTGAAAAGGAGCCGAAAACACGATTTAGGGTTTATATAAACAAACATGCAGATAATAATTGGCAAGTACATAAACAGGAGTTCTTTTCAGATCATCCACTTGTACAGAGTCTGCAACTTGGTGATATTGTGGGACTTTGGATTAGATCTGAATTTCCGGGTTGGTGTAATTATATCAAGCAAGCTGAAGTAAAATTGTATTACACCATCTAGAATTATTTCATAATTCAACAAAGACAAATCAATTGGGTAAAATTTGGCAGAATTAGATACTGATCAACATCCTATTTTTTTTGTAAAATATCAAATAAGTTTAAAATACTTTTATACTGTCAATGTGAATTTTTCATCAAATCGATTTCATTTTTATAAGTAGTGTTTAAGAAAAATAGTAAAATTGAAATTTACAACAGATCGAAAAATAGTAAAATTGAAATTTACAACAGATCAAAAAAAAAAAAAAAGAAAGTGATGATTCCTAAGTTTCGATTTCTTTAACATTACTTCTGATATCGTTTGTATGTCGACTAGAATATATATTTAAAAGTTTATATATTCATATTTATAAAATTTTAATACTATATACTGTATACTTATATGTATATATGTTTCGCGTCATTTTTCAATTTATGTTGCTTCGAATTTAAAATAACGTACGTTACTTTGTAATCGGTGAAATCAGTAAAAATTTATTAAACGTTGATATTACAAATTTTGTTCTGCGTCATTTCATAATTTAGGTCGATTCAAAATTGACCTGTCATTTTTAAATTTTGAAACGATGTACGTTATTCTCAATCGATGAAAACAAACTTATAGGACCAGCTTTTAATAAATAAGCCATAAAAAATGGAAATTGCTATTCGTACCTCACATTTTTGCTTTTCGTCCCCTCCTACCCATATAAAGAAATTATTTAACTAATTGTCGCATGATATAGTTGTAGTGCAAAACAATATATAACCTTTATATAAATAATATTATGGCTAAAAATATGAAATTAAACTTTTATATCATGATGATAATCAGTTATTTACATAGAAGAGGGTACTAATAGCAAAAATGAGAGGTACGAATACAGGAATAGCAATACCAGCTGTTTATTATATATTTATTTGAGCATTGTACATAAAATCAAAGTATAATACGTATATAACTCTAATCTAAAAATAGAGTAAGTAAGACATGTTATAGCTAATGTATGCCGCCAAGGAAAAGCCTGTCATCGGAGTTTGTTTATAATTTACCAGACACAAATCAAATAGATTGAACTCGATGACAGGTTTTTCATTGATTGAGCTCATATATTATATATATTATCTTCAGTATTAGGCTAAATTAAAAGATGAATACTGACATTATTTATTAAAATTGTGAAAATATGGTTAAATCGCTATTTATTCTAATTTTACAAAACAGCAATGCACAAAGTGCACAGTTCAATATTTTAAATTTACTATATTCTAGTTGCAAATATTTTATTCAATCATTCGATGTTTAACATTACTATAAATGATTTTGTGTGATTAGACGCTATACATTTTTTTCTTAAAAATTGTATTTTAAAAAGTTTATTCAACAAAGAATTTTATACATACTGCACGTATCAGATCATATCATACAAAATAAAAATCACAACATTCCATAATGAAGAGAGCACATGATACAATAGTATCCTAAATAATAAAAAAAATTAGTTTTTGGATGATGCGTTACTTTTGTTTATATTTAGTTAAATATTGCTGATATGAGTAATTGATTTTAATGAGAAATCGAAACTAATAATTCTTAACTGGGTAAATTACCTTCTCTAATACCAAAATAAATTTATGGAATTTAGACTAGTGTTAGAAGTGGAAATTTGTTTAAGTCTATAAAAGCGAAAATCATCAGCAATGTACTTTCTTGCCTGCACACTAGTTTCAACCTGGAACGTACCAACATCCATTTAATGCAAACGAATTGATAATCAAGCATTAACTTGATCGTGTGATGGTCATAGGCGTAAAGATGTATAATTTTGTTATCGATATGTTATAATAACGATAACATTATTAGTTATTATTTAATCACCGATGAGCAAATATTGCTACTCATTTGCGTGATCAACTCGTATAACATTCCTGCATTCAATAATGTTGATTTTACAAAAAAAAAAAATTTTATTATTATTTCATGTTACGACGTAAACCGATTTACATGTCATGTCTAAAGACAAAAGTATCACAAATTAATAGTTATATAAATTAAAATATAAATTAACATATCGATATGGAATTAATTTTTTCCAAATTAATTATTTCATAATTAGACGAAGAATCAAAACTTTTTGATGAATTTATAAATTTATTAATTTCTTCTAAATTTATAAACTTACTAATAGAATCTGTGTGATCAGATAGAGTAACCGGCGGCAAACTTTTGGTTATTTTATCTGCATCAAAAAACTCCTTTTTTATATCATCCTTTATTTCAGATTTCATAATGATATCTTTATAATTTTTTTGCTAAGAAATTAAATAAATCTCCACCTTCAGCATATTCCATTACTATTAAAATTTCGTGTGAATATATATTGTTTGTAAGGCCATAATAATGTAAAATATGATCGTCAGAACTTGTAATTTCAAATGGGATTACCTATTCATGAAATAAAAGATTAGTAAATGAGAAATAAATAAATAATTTGTATAGATGTTAAATGCATTTACTTCATTCACGATATCTATAGAAAGATCTTTTGAAGATTTTAAATGTTTGAGGGCTACTATGTTTTTCTCTCCTAAACCATTTACCCAAGTGGCTTGAAATATTTTACCAAAACCACCTTCATTCAAAGGTTTAATATCCTGAAATTCATCATAATATATATATCTTAAATCGCCTGTAGGTTCATTATGACCGTTCATGATTCTTTCAACAATTGAAAGATTCAATGCAGCTTCAGCAATATCAGGCTTTATTTCCAGTGATTTTTTGAGATCTGATCTTGCTTTATATTTACCCATCTTTTTATATGTCACACCTCTAATACATAATGCATCACAGCAGCCTGGATTTATTTCCAGTGATTGGTTAATGTCAGAAAGCGCTTTTTCAAATTCACACAAAGCATTATAACAACAGGCGCGTTTTATCAATGTAACTGAATCATTTTGTTTTATTTCCAGTATCCGATTTAAATCAGAAAGCACTTCTTTGTGTTTACTGGAAATTGAGAAAATTCTTGAACGTCCATCTAATGCAAATATATTATCCGGTATCAATATTAATGACTTACTATAATCTACAACTGCCTCATCAAATTTACCCATTCCTTCATATACCCATGCACGCTTCGTTAATGCAAAAGCATAGCTGGCATCATCTTCAGTGTTCATTTCTAAAACTTTGTTAAAATCTAAAAGCGCGTTATCAAGTTCATTCAGCGCTAAATAAGTTTCACCACGATCACTTAATGCATAAGCATTATCTGGTTCTAATTCTAGTGATTTGTTGAAATCTGAGAGTGCCTTCTTAAATTCAAACGAATTTTTATAGGCTTCCCCGCGGCGTATCAGCACTCCTGAATTATTTGGTTCTATTTTCAGCAATTTATCGAAATCTTTTAGTGCATCACCACCACAATTACCTAATAAAACATTAATTGCTCCATGTTCATTTAATGCTCTTGGATCGTCTGGTTTAATTTCCAAGAATCTATTGAGATCTGAAAGCGCTTCATGATATTTTTGCAATGATTTATAAGCACATCCGCGATTCAATAATGTATGAATATCATTATATTTTTCTTTAAGAGACATGTCAAGGTCGGAAAGTGCATTATCATTTTTAGATAATTCTATGTAAGTATTCCCACGACATACCAATGCATCGGCATTATCTGGCTTTATTCTCAACGACTCATTAAGATCTGAAAGTGCATTATTGAATTTACTTAAGCTCATATAGGCAACACCACGAACCATTAATGCATGTGCATCTTTAGGTTCTATTTCCAATGCTTTATTAAGATCCACAAGAGCATCGTCATATTCCATAACATAATATAAATATAAGTTTCACCACTAGGGTAAGTGGCACAGAGGTCACAGGCATGCCCAATACTTAAATAGTCAATAGGGCATGCCACTTATATGTTATTCCGAAATATTTCGAATATACATAGTTATGAGGAAGGTCAAGTACAATGTTCCGAAATATTTCGGAAGGAAGTTTATATAGTACGTGATAACTGACCAATCTAAATTGAGTATACCTATCACGTAGCATAATGGCATGCCAGGGTGGCATCCTGGCACGAATTTAGCAAATGGCATGCCAAAATTTTTTTGCCGTGCCATTTTCCCTATTCACCACGCATTTTCAATGCAGGAGTATTAGTAGGTTCTTTTTCCAAAATTTTGCTAAGCTCAAATGTTGATTCATTAAGCTTTCCCGTATTCCTATAAATTGTGGCACGGCTGATTAACGCTTCAATGTTGTCGCCCGGATTGATAAGTACCTCATCATTTTCACTACAAATTTCTCTATACGCTTTTAGTGCAGAGGAATTATTTGGATTGAGGCTTGATGATTTTTTAAGGTCTGAAATGGCTTCATTGTATTTGTTCAATAATTTATAAGTTATTCCCCGGTTCCTTAATGCAAAAGCGTTATCTGGCTTGAGTTCTAGAGATCTATTAAGATCAGATAGTGCTTCATTATATTTGTTTAACACTATATACAGTATGTTACACCTCGATTCCTTAATGCAAAAGCATTATTCTGCTTTAATTTTAGTGCTATATTGAAATCTGTAAGCGCCGCCTCATATTTTTTCAATAGCCCGTAAGTTTTACCACGACATCTTAATGCCCAAACATTTCTAGGATCTATTTCCAACGACCTATTAAGATCTGAGAGCGCTTTAACATATTTACATAATTCTCTGAATGTTGATCCACGTCCTCTTAAAATAAATGCATTATTAGGTTCAAGTTTCAGAGCCCTATTAAGATCCGAAAGTGCATCATTAAATCTACGTAAAAAATAGTAAGTTATCCCACATTCTGCTAAGGCTACTGCATTATCTGGCTTTATATTCATGGAGCTGCAGAAATCCAAAAGTGCATTAGTATGATCACCTAATCTTCTATAAGTTTTTCCACGACTTATTAATGCACGAAAATTATCTGGTTCAATTTTTAGAAAGCCATTAAGATCTAACAACGCATCCTCATTTCTGCCCAGGCTTATATACGTTTCTCCACGATTCAATAATGCAAGAGTATTATTTGATTCGATTTCCAATGTTTTGCTAAAATCGGAAAGCGCTTCTTCGTATTTACCCAAGCTTATATGTGCCACACCACGAATCATTAATGGATGAACATTGGTAGAATAGGCAGAATATAAAAGTATATCGATATGTTTGTCTAACATCCTGTAAGCCATATCACGAACTTTTGATGCAAAGCCATTATTCGGTGCGATTTTCAATGATATATCGAAATCGGAAATTGCATCTTTATATTTATTCATGCACATGTAAGTTATCCCACGACTAATAAACACATTAGCATCATTGGATCTGATTTCCAATTTATTAAAATCGGAAAGCGCGTTATCATGTCTACCTAATATTTCATAAATTTTTCCACGTTTTTCAAAAAGTGCATAAACATCATCGGGTCCACTTTCCAAGGATCTACTGAAATCTTTAAGTGCTTCTTCATATTTATTCAATTCCTTGTAAGTTTCTCCACGAATCATTAATGCATCTGCATTATTTGGCTCTATCTCTAGAGATTTATTGAAATCTGCAAGTGCCTCTTCATATTTATTCAATTCCTTATGAGTTTCTCCACGAATCGTTAATGCATGTGCATTATTAGGTTCTATTTCTAGAAATCTGTTGGAATCCGCGAGTGCTTTCCCATATTCCTTATGAGTTTTTCCACGAATCATTAATGTAAATGTACTATTTGGATTTATTTGCAGAGATCTATTGAAATCTTTAAGCGCTTCATCAAATTTATTCAATTCTTTATAAACTTCACCACGAATCCTAAATGCATCTGCATTCTATGGTACTATTATCAACGATCTATCAAAATCCAAAAGCGCTTCATTATATTTTTTCATTCTCTTGTAAACAGTTCCACGCAATATTAGAAGCTCTACATTTTCGAATTTGACTTTCTGTGAGAGGTCGAGATCTGAAAGTGCTTCACTACTATTGTCTAACTTTGAATGAATGAACGCACGATTCAATATTGCATAAATGTTACAAGGATTTATTTCTAATGATTCGTTGTAATCCAAAAGTGCTTCTTTATATTTTCCCATACGTCCGAGAACCGCACCGCGATTTGTTAGTATTTCACTATAGAACATTGCATTATTGGATTCGATATTCAGCGACTCATTCATATCTTCAAGTGCTTCTTTGTATTTATCCAACTTTAAACATATTACCCCACGGTTTACAAGTGCGAGGGTATTATTAGGTTCTATTTCCAATACTTTGTTTAAATCTGAAAGTGCTTCATTATATCTTCCCATGTCTCCAAAAACTTTAAAACGATGATACAGTAACTCAGAATTATTAGGGTCAGATTTTAATTTCTTATTTACTATTCCAAGTTCGCCAGTTGATACATACGTATGACGATTTTTCCCATAAAATTTTACATACTTGGCTAAAGTATTAAAGGCTTCAAATGAATTTGATGTCATTTTAATGTGTTCAGGTGTATCAATAACTGATGAGAACAGCAAAATTTGTCTTCAGGGTTGAACTGCATTTTAAATGGTAAAAACACAATCGTGAAACCTTGTAAGACAAATTTTGTCTCAATACGTAATACCAGATCAGAAACGATTCATAGGAAATTTGACTTTGCATAGCTTTGTATAGCTATAAAAATTTTTTAAAGTTTATTGTTATATCTGTGACACCATCTTTGATTAAACGTTCTGTAGCAATAGTATATACGTCCTCGCAGCATTGTCTTATTCTTGTAGAGTGTCTGTCCAAAAATCAACGTGATTTTCGTAAAGCAAATTTTTTATTCCTTAACGCTAATATGCGACACAAATCTTAAAATACATATAACAATCGGAAGATTTTTTTTTAACGCCCTTATACGTTGTTGTGACCAGAGGTGAGACTACTTTACTATCACGCTGAATTAATTCAAGGTAGTCCGTTGAACAAATCCATTGGATTATCCGATTATTTCAATCAGATGTTTATTTATTATTCGTCGGATCATCCGTATTTGACACCCAAACCATATTATTATGGACACTTTTAAAAAATTTGTACAGAGCTAAATATATAAGATACTAGTCTCTAACCAGTGCGTTGCTTCGGGTTTTAACGTTATTAAATAATAAACTTAATATAATACTTACTTTTTATATAATTTTAATTATAATTAATATTTATTAGCTAAATATTCTCTATAAACAATTTTAATAGTTTTTGATTATTTTTATTAATTCGGTACAAGATCACTATAAAAGCCCGTCGTGTTAAGACAAGTAAGTATATAATGTTATACTAAGCTTCTTGATTTAATATTTTAATTAACTTTGAAATAACATATAGTTCATTGAATCTATTAAGATTCTATTTACAAATTTATATAAAAAAGAGTATAGACAATAATTAAAGCAGAATATAGTATAATAGTTAGAACGGAACATAGTGATAGTTAGAATGAAACATAGCATGATAGTTAAAAGAGAATATGATACTATAGTTAGAATAGAATATAGTATTATAGTACTATAGTTAGAACAGGCACTATATTTAGAACGAGGCATAGCACAATAGTTATAATAACATGTAGCATGGTAGTTAAAATAGAATAAGCATGACAATTAGAATGAGATATAGTACAATAGTTAGAACAAGACA